ATATTTACTAAAATTTCTTATACAAGGGCTCTCTTCTCCTGCCAGTTATCTTGTATAATATCACTTTTAGCTTGCATATTAAATATACAGAGGAGTCTCTAAGAGTAGGCAGTTGATCTCTGTAAAAACTGTTGTATTGTAAAAGAAACTTCTTCATCTTTCCAGAATAAATTTTTGTTTTTTGCTTTTTTGAAATTTTTGGAAAAAAGATCATTAGAAAGAGTTGTGTTTATACCTCTCTTCTATTCTAGTCTATATATTTAAATAATAAAGTTTTTAATCATCTGTACAATTTATTTTTATACTAAAAAACAATAATTTTTATTGAATATACTTTTATCAAAGATATTACTAGCTTGGATTTTTTTTTCACTAATCTTTTTAATATTAAAAAAATTGTTTAACTAAAACCAATTCTACAAGTTTGTAAATTTAATTAATATTATCTTAATAATTAGATCTATTAAAAAAAATAAAAAATGAAAATAAATAAAATGTATTGTATATAAATCTTGATTATTTTTTTTATATATAACTTAAATTGTAGATATCTCAAAGTTTACAGATTTGAGAACAACTAAAAAAAAATTACTAAATTGAACTTTATTAATATTAATTAATAAATAAATATATTTTAAACAATAAATAACTTTGTTAAAATCAAACTTTGTAATTATTATATGGGTCTTAAAAACTATTTATATTGATCTATATAAAAATTATATAACACATAATTTTTATATAGCAAAAACCAAATTCGGTTTAACTATTGCTATGTATTAATGTATAAGTTTAATATTTTTTTATAATACTAATAAATTGAGTGAAGATTTTATTATTTTTATATGATACTAATAGGTTAGAATTAGCTAGATATTTTTTTTAATAATAAAATAGATTGTATAAAAACTTTAATTAGCAAGTATTTTTTTTTATAATACTAATAGATTGGATAAGACTTAATTAGCTGAATATTTTTTCAAAAATAATTAGTTGGGTGAAAACTTTAATTAGTTTTTTTTAAAATAGTAATTAGTCAGATAAAAGCTGTGTATTTTTTATAATAGTAATTGTTAGGTGAGAATTTCAATTAGAGTTTTTTTAAATAGTAATTAATTGAGTGAAAGTTTCAATTATTTTTTTTTAAATAGTAATTTGTTAGATGAAGACTTCAAATAGATGAGTGTTTTTTAAAATTGTATTGATTGAAGTGAAGACTTTAAATAATTAGATGTTTTTTAAGATTAAAAAATATATGTAGTAGTAAACAAACTAAAAAAAGTAATAAGTTTTTTCTTATTATTGATTCTTTTAATATTTTTTTTTAATTTTGATTCTTTATTTATTTTATATTTAAAATTACTTATTAGTATTCTTATTAGTATTATTATTTAAGTTAACTAATTTTTTTAGTCTTTAGCTACTCATTTTCTAGTAGCTAATAGCCAATAATTAAATATTAGCTAAAAGTTTCTAATCTATATACTATTAGCTAATTATATTATTAGTATTGCTATATAAATTATTTTAGTTAAAAATAATTATTATATTTTTAACTACAGACTAATAACTAACTAAATAAGCAAGTAACAACATTATATATTAGTAATAGGATTCAAGGTATAAAAAAAAAAATTAAACATATCTATAGAGGTATACTTTAAGTCTAAAGTCAAGATATACTCTAAAGTTTTAGCATACTTGAATAGAATTAATTTAGAAGGAGATATAAAAAAACTGATACAAAGTTATAGAAGTATATGAGAAAAAGAAAAAGATTTCTAAGAAGAAAAAATATTTATAGAAAAAAAAATAGAAAAATGATTTAAAAAAGAGAACTACAAGAAAAAAGACAAACTGTAAAATAGATAGAAATATAAAAAATTATAATATTAGTCTTAGAATAGTATTAAATAGCATAACCAGAAAAGTAAAAGAAAGAATATTAGCTAGTTAGATTTAAAATTAGTTATAATAAGCTGTAGTATCTTTTTTATACTAATTTGTAGCTTATAGATTATATACTATTTGAGTATAAAACAAAGATTACTATAGCAGATCATATATAGATATCTATAAGATAACTAGATGAATTAGAACTTAAAAAATTAAATATTAAATAGTAGATAACTAAATAATGTTTTTAAATAAAAAACAAATCTAAATAAAGTCATAATATAACTGCTGAATTTTAGAAAAAAAAATTAGCTAAGAAAGTAGTTTTAATAATAATAATAATAAAAATTTATACAAAATAAACAAAAAAAACAAATAAAAATATTTTTAATTTGATTTTAGAATTAGAGTTTAAAGCTTATAGTAAAATTAAAGTTTAGTAAGATTTATAGTAAAATTTCACAAAAAATTTTTTTATTTAAAGTTTCAAAAATAGTTTTATAAATAAAATTTTGAAATAATTTTATTACAAATAATAATTACTTGTAATAAAAATTAGCAAACTTCTTTATAAAAAGTTATTTGTTTAAAAAATTATATTTAAAAAAAAATTTTACTCAATTTATATTAACTCAACTTCATATATTTAGTTTTTAATTATTGTTTTTTTTTTTTTTTTTTATTAAATATTTTATAATTATTTGTTTTTTTTTATTTATCTGTTATTTAACTATTTTTATTGTTTCTTTTTATTATTAAATATTTTATAATTATTGTTTTTTTTTATTTATTTGTTATTAATATTGTTAATTATACAATATTAGCCGTTGGTCAAAGCAGTTTTCTAAAAATAACAATTATTCATAATTATATTTACTTAAAAGACCTTTTTAAATATACTTTCTTGAACCATATTGCAAAAAAAAAGTATTTAAAATAATGTTGTATTTTAAAAACAAAATCGTAAATACTATACTGTAAAAAGCTTTAAAACAAACTTAAGTATGCGTTTATAGAGAATTTAATATAATAAGTATATTTAAACAGACTTTAAACACTTATTAAACTTGAACTTTATAGAATTAAAATTATATAAAAATAATATTTTGTCAGTAATAAAAAATTCAAAATTATTTTAGCAGTATATTATTAGACCATATAAAAAATTTATTGATATTTTAATTTATAACAAACAAACCCGGTCGACTGGTCAACTTTTTTTTGTTTTTATATATTTACTTTTTTGGCCAGGTTATGACCTTATCGTTATTGTAATCGACTATAATATTAAATTTACTATGTAGATACAATAGATAGTTATTGGTTAATTAAGATTAATTCATTATATGTACGTATAATTTGAACCAGACCAAGTCGTTATCGTTATTATAAAACTACTTAATAGAGAAAAAATTTTAAGTTTATACATTATGTAACTTAAGCCGGGTATGGGGGTTTTTTTTTTTTATATATATAACTTTCTAGGTTATAATACGTAATAATTTTTTACATGCATGCATAATCTCAAACTTCAGAATTTTTCAAAAGCCGTTATTTACGTACATATCGGTATTACATATTTAATAATAATGCGGTTCCATTTGGAAGAATTGAATGAACTAGTATTATTTAACTTAATAAGTAAAATTACACAATACACGTTTGTTCGAAATAAAGGACTTTTTTTTTTTAAATGCTGTTTTAGATATTTAACATTGTTCAAATTAGTCCAAAAATTTCGAAATGATTAGTCCGATAAAACAAAAGGTTGTACTACGTATTTAAAAATGCGAACTTATGATGACGTTGTACGTACGTACAACCTCAACTCTCGTTATTTTAAATATGTTTTCAGGAGTTTATTGATTAATTCATTTAAAAAAAAAAAATTTTTTTTCATTGATTTAAAGTTCAACCTTATAACTTAACTTACGTATGTTATTAAAATAATTCATTCATTCATTCATTCATTTAGAATTACTCAGTTTAGAAGTTTTTAATAATCTGCACAGATGATACGTATAAGCAAGGAATTTCTATAATTATTCATATAGTTGATAGGTACTTTCTAATTGTTTATTTTTTTAAATGTAATATTATGTAAAATTCTCTTTATGTACAATTTTTAGGATCAAAATTTTATATTTAACTCCTAGATTATCTTTATAGGTTGTTAAAGTATTTGGGAGTTGATCGAATAATCCTCCGAAACAAAATACTGTATATAATTAAATCACGTGATATTAAATAAACCATTATCTGTTATTACTGTATTATATATCGATAAAATAAGAAAATTTTTTTTTTTTTACTATTGTTTTCTATATAGTTCGTTCCAGACTTAACCAGATTTAAAAAAAATGCTCTTTAACAGATAAATTAGGAAGAGAAATTCCTAAATATATTCAAATTCACTATTACATAATCTTGCGTCATGTTCTGATTAAAAAAAAATTTTTTAATTAATCATATTACGCCTAATGATAAGAATTAAATATAAAGTATCACGTGAAACTCGTTAATAATAACAAGTACATACTTATCTGAATAGCACTTCGTTTCAATATATATTTAATTAAAAATTTATTTATTTTTTTATTTATAATAAAAACTGTACAATATAAAGTTATTTACTTAAGCTTATTGTGACCTATAAGTATTAAATGATATAGTCACGAATAATAATAATAATACCAATAATAATAAAAAAAAGATTGCGTAAGAAAAATCCTCCGCTGCCTTTTTTTTTTTTTTTCAAGAATTACATAATTAGTCATTTGTTCCTAGGGGAAAAAAAAAAAAAAAAAAAAAAGAAACCCAGATATTTGTTTGCGGATTTCCTAATAAAATAAAAATTAGTTGTGAAAAAAAAAAAAAAAAAAAAAAAAAAGTTCTATATTTTATTATAATGAATGAATGGAGATTTTTTTTTTTTTTTTTTTTTTTTTTATAAGCCTAAATTACATCGCACATTTGAATGTGCAAAAAAAATTTACTAAATTACTTTTTAACAGGATTATTTAAAGATTCTTTCAAACAATCTGGCGGTACATGGTTATGCTTTTTCGTTAGATTACATGTTTCTTCTGCACAACATTCGATCATTTGGAACCATGTATCAAGTTTGATTGATTCGATAGTGATACGTCTTTTGGAGTCAGGTTCTAAAATATGATACATCAAATCCCGACAACCAGAAGGAAGTTTCTCAAATGGTTCATATAAACCTTGGTTTTTCGTTTCTAGGTAGTTTGTATAATTTGGATCCGTTGGAGTTGCCATCCGGAATGGGATACCTTGATATATCATGCAGTAATATACGATACCGCATGCCCAAACATCAACAAGTCGAGCATCATATTCTTTTGTTTCGAATTGTTCCTATAAATAAAAATTTTAAAAAAATTTAATTATTAAAATTGAAATTGAATATAAATAATGAATATAAATAATAATAATATTTTACCGGAGCAATGTAAGGTTCAGAACCACAAAGACCTTTTGACATGTGAGCAGCTTCTTCCCAACATGTTCTAAAGACATCGGATACACCAAAATCGGTGATTTTCAAATGACCATTTACATCAAGCAATAAATTTTCAGGTTTTATGTCCCTAAAAAAAATGAAAAAAAAGAGAATTAATAAAAAGATAACAAAAAGTTATATAATAGATATAAGTTTAATAAATGAAAAAAAAACATACCTATGAGCAACACCCATTGAATGGAGATAACCAACACCCATAATAAGTTGTTTAAAACAACAATCTATCTCAATAGAAGTCATATGACCAGCCTTTATAGCAGTATATAGATCACCACCAGCGCAATATTCCTAAATTATAGGATAAAAACATTAGATAATTAAAAGAAAAAAAAAAAAAAAAAAAGAAAGTAAAAATGTGATTACAAACCATAACCTCGCACCAATTTTGATTTTCATCTTGAACTAGATCTACAGTCTTTACAACATTAACATGTTGTAATGTAGAACTTATACAGAATTCGCTAGTTAATTTCTTTACATAATCTTTTTCAGATTCGTTCTTTCTTCGCTTTCTAAATTCCTATTTATATTAGTAACAACAACGAATGAATAGTTAGATTACAAAAAAAAAATTTTGTAAAAAAAAATAAAAATAAAAATAAATAAATACCTTGATAGCATAAGTTTTTTCACAATCAGATGGATCAAATTTATGAGCAAGACGAACGACGGCAGTAGCACCTTTACCGATACAACCTTTATCACAAACTCCGTATTTTTTTATTAAAACAGATTCCGGATCAACCGTTTTACCATTGTCACTACCAGAGTCACTACGTTGAGATTGCTTTTCTTCAAGTTCCAATTTTGGATTAAGAATATCTTTTAACATTGATTTATGATCAGAAGTAGAATTAAAATTAAATTCTTCTTTTTCTTGTTCTGGAGAACCAAGAGGAGATGAAACAGGAGATTTTGATTCATGAATTAAGAGTTTTTGAATACTCCGAACAAAAGTAATCTTTTTTGGTTCAGAAGAGCTACCATTTACAGTGATTACATTAGCAGTAGAAATTCCATTTGGCGTAAAAGTTCCATTTGGAGTAGAAGTTCCATTTGGAGTAGAAGTTCCATTTGTAGAAATTCCATTTGTACTAGCTTTAAATTGATAATCAGTTTCAAATGATTTATTAATCTCATCAGTTGACGGAGTAGTAGTGACAGAATTAGTTGAAAATGAAATATCTTCAGTTTCATTTGGTTTTAAAAAGAATGCAGGTTGAGTTGGACTAGTGGAACTAACGACAGGTAAGCTTATATTTCTTTTAGGAGGTTTTCTGGAAACTAGGAGAACCTTTCTTGCTTCAGATTCCGGTACACGACGACGAGCCTTACTATCCAGAGCTGGAGCCCAATAATCAGTTGTAAAAGTAACCATACTGAGCAGATGCTGTAAGAAGGATCGCGACGAAAATCGAAGTGGCTGAAAGTAAGATTCAGAAAGTTTACTTTTTTTTCACTAGTAACCGTTTAACCCCAACAATAAAATTTTTATAGGAATGAAAATGATAAAAATACAAAAGTACTGGTAGATTAAAAGGGTATTTTATAAATCAATGAAAGTAAGTGAAAACGATTCTGAAAAAAAATAAAAAATAAAATTCTATTTCAATTAAATATTAGATTAAATATACACGATAGTCTAATTGTGTGTGTCTATATTTTTATTTTATTTTATTTATTTTAGTGTTTTTTTTTTTTTAAAAAAAAAAAAGGTTATCACGAATGGAACCGTTTATTTATATATAATTGAGAGATATAAGTAGATCAAAATAGTTATCAGTTATAAATCGGGAACTAAAAATCATAAATTGATTTACCGCACAGATATAATTTATGTTTGATATTGTTATCAAGATTTTGATTAGGTACTTACTGTACACATAATAAATAAATTTTACAAGGAAAAAAAAAAAAAGCGATTAAAATTAAGACAATGATTATTTATCAGAGATGAGACGAAATGAGATAAGACAAACGGAGAATTTAAGGTTAAAAAAAAAAAAAAAAAGAAAAAACTGAAATAAATAAAATATAGAAAATATTCTCGTATATTCTCGTAATAAAATAATTAATATATTTTATTATACGTATATATATTTTATTATATATATTTTTTATTAGGCGGATATTCTCGTATTAACAATTAGTCATGTGGAAGATTTATTAGCACGAGGGGCTGAGCTTGGATTTATTTGAAAAATGTCAAGAGATGAAAAGCCAGGTATAGTTTGTAAAACGTTGTAAAAGTTAGCGTACCATCAAAGACTAACAAATCAAAAGCTAAAGTTTAGCACAAAGAAAAATAAAAAAAACAAGAATAGAGTACAAAAAATGCCAAATACAGCTTATCACTTCAGGAATTTATAATCGGGCTTAAAAATATATATCAAGAATGATGTACTTTAATCAGCAAATTTATTGGTTGTTTTTTTTTTTTTTTTTTATCTATAGAATATTTGAAATTTATTATTTTATGACATGTTTCACCTGCTTCAGTTATAAGCTTGTTATTTCATGATCCAGGCCACTCACGTGTAACTCTCATGGTGCTACATAGTAATATATAAATATAAATATATAACTATAATACTGTAATATATCACAAAAAAAAAAAAAAAAAAACACAAATATATGCACATATAATTGTAAAAAATTATTAAAAGAGCATTACAACATCAAATGACCGACTTATCAAGCGCATATTTAAAATATTTGGTCTTCATAATCCAATTACAGTCGCCTCATTTTTAAACATGGCAAAAATACACAAATTATCAAATGATCATTAGTATATTTTGTTAGATAGCATGCATTTCGATCAAACTATCAATCAATCAAAAAAAAAATTACTATTATCGTTATTTATAAACGAATATTCCTATCATAGTGACTTATTAAATCGGTCGATTAACTTTGAATTTTTAGGTTCCATAACTTTAAAATTTTTAACGCATCAAAAAAAACAATTTTAATTGCTTTTTTTCAGGGCTAATAATAATCATTATCATTATCGTTATTATTTTATTTTATAATAAATAATAAATGTATAATTATTAAAAAAAAAATTTAATATGAAATTAAAAATGTATTTCTAACGTTTTTCCCTTAAATTTTTTTAGGCATAAATTCGTTACATATATACATATATATCGATGTTTATGCGTTATCCAGTTAATTAACACCTTATTGAGCTTAGATTGCCAAGACTTTAATCAAATGAACGTGGAATGACCCATCAGGTTACAAGAAGATCCCATCTCTATATCTTTGGTTAATGAGTCCCGTACCGGAATACCCTAAAAATGATTACTTATTAAGTATATTGAGGCTTTTTTGTTATCTAATATATATATTTGTTAAAAAGACATCTAATTCTTTGTCTCGGTAGTAAAATTTTAATTTTTTTTTTTTAATTTTTTTGAAAACTGTTGGCCAAAATTAATGACGTTCAAACAAAATCTATAAATACTTATCTGCAGGGCAATCTTACACAATCAATTTTTTAATTTCCAAATTAAAAATTTTTTTTACCTCTTTTTTCTCATAATTTGAAAATCTGTCATCAGCTTTCAATAACGCTAAACAAAAACTGTTTAATTTTAAGTAATTTGATTTTTATATCATGATACTGTTTAATTTTAAGTAATTGATTTATATCATGATAAACTATAATAAAAATTTCTAATATTAGTATATCAAGTTATTTTTTTTTTTTTTTTTTGACATAATAATGAGATAATTCATATATCCGGGGCGAAAAATTAAAAGCATTTTCCAAAATTATTTTTAATTGATTAATAAATAATGGGTTCAATTAAGAAACATTTATAAAATTCATAGTATGTACAGTACATAGTTCATATGTATATTATCTATAATTAAAAATTGAACAAGTTATTTTATTCTAAACATTAAATACAACATATATTTAAAAATATCAGTTACTAATTTTATATAATTAATAGATAATTCAAGAATGTAAAATGGATAGATTTTTTATAATAGCGATAGTACCATTTTATCTATTCGTGAATTACTAATTAATATAAATTGAGTTAAAAGCCTGGGGAAAGAACCAGATTTTACTAATCAATGTATATATATGTAAATAATTCGAGATTTGGTAAATTTAGACTAGCAAAAGGTGCCAAGAAAAAAAAATTCAATTAAAAGACGTTAAAGAAACTATGATGTGTTTCCCGAGATTAGCTGTGAGATTGTTTCAGGTATACTTAATAATAAGAAGTTTGGCTGGTCATTTGATTATCAAATATATAAAAGTTTTAGTTTAATTTTCTTAATTTTACGTGTAATAATTTTTATTATTAATCAAAAACAATTATAAGAAATTATTATTAAAAGTACAGTATTAAATTTATCCAAGACCCTAGCGTTACTGTACCAACTTAAATGCTATTAATTGTTAAGGGTTTTGATCATGAAATTTGATTTTGGTCTAATAACGAAATTTTTTAGGTTGGTAATGCTAGGGAGGTTAATTAATCATACTATATAAACTCGGTGATTGGTTTTATTATCATATGACAATATATGGGATCTTTGCTAGGAAAATCACCCTTCGGGATTTTCCGAACGGGCCAATTCGGAAAGACTTAGACAAGAACACCAGTCCTTATGTTTAACTTGCCGATATAATAGTTTGTTAAATAAACTATTGCATCGATAAAGGTAAAAGACGACTCACATATAAATAAGAACTGGTAAGTCTTTCCGAATTAACCCGTTCGGAAAATCCCGAAAGGTGATTTTCCTAGCAAAGATCCCATACGATTGAAGTAGTGTTTCGATCCTAAATCCAACTATCTGGATTAATCCTATAAATCCAGATGAATTCAGATGTCTAAATCAGAGATTTTTACACGGATCTAAAGATGTACCCAAAGCTAGCTTTATATAATCTGATGCAGATTCAATCCAGATAGTCTGTCATAAGGATTGGATCCGGGTCACTTGGTTTTAATTAATATTCATGTAAATCACCAATTAAATCTACAGAAAATTATTTCTTTTTTGAAAAAATGAGTTCGAAATACTTTGGTTCAATATTTTGTCAAGACTGTGGTACTTTACTTTTTAATACAGGCGATGATTTCATTGAATGTTCTGCTTGTACGTGTCGACATGATGCTACTGGTGTGTTTAATAAATCTTTTGATTTCTTTTTTTTTTTAAAAAAAAAAAAAAATTTTTATAACATTTGAACTTGGTGATATTAAAAAAATAAAAAAATAGAATATGAAAGCATAGTGATAACATCAAAAAGTAAACCAAAAACATTTCCTTCGAAACTTCGATCTCGTCATTCAAAAATACAACAACTTGACAATTATAAAGAAGAAAGTGCTTCTGTCCGTACCTCCATTATTACTTTTCTTTTGCATATGAATTGATTTTTTTATACAATCGTAATTTTTACACATTTATTTTATTAAAAAAAAAAAAAAAAAAAAAAGATTAAAGAAAAATGTCCAAAGTGTGGAAACGAAGAAATGAATTATCATACTATGCAACTTCGTTCTGCAGATGAAGGTCAAACTATATTTTACCACTGCACAAAGTGCAGGTATGTTGCAATATTTATTAAATAAATGTAGTTGATTAATAAATATTCATTACTTTTATTCTTTTTTAATCTACGTACGTAGTTATAAATTTTCCATAAACTCCTAATACGTAATATGAAATTTAGCATACGTATCATTATTTATTTAAATGTGTTGTTGATAATTTTAATAAACCTAGTTATGGAATTTATCCAAATTTTAAATATTTCAACAACTTGAAATAATTGAATTAGTTAAATATTGTATTCAAATATTTGAAAATTTTCAAACGCAGAAAACATGCACTATTAGGTAAATTATTATCCTGAACACTCTAGTGTACCACTGTGACTAGATGGGTCGATCTACACAATAGAATTTCATAACTAGTTTTTAATATATGCAGTATCATTGAACAAATTCTAATACTACTACATAGAACATTTAATTTTAATTTAATGTTTTCTGAAATTAACCAATTAACTTGCCATTTAATTAATTATACAATTTAAAGTCTTTCGTATAGCTAGTATATAATAAATAGGAAAATTCACTTCTAAGTGAAGCTCTCAGGATTACTGATTATTTTTGATTATTTTTATACAGTGAATATAAATGTTCTTTCGAAGCGAAAAAAGGCTTTTGCGGCGATATTTACGTTCCACTCTCGAAAAGTACTTTAAACTGTATAAATAAGTTACCCAGCCAATTAACTTACATCAGCCAATTAACTTACATCAGGTAATTAACTTACGTCAGCCAATTAACTTATATCAGCCAATCAACTTACATCAGCCAATCATATGTAACCTGATTCAGGACATTGAAAACACAAAATGATTGACACAATAATTTTTTCTTATCAAACACCTGAATAAATATTCCATTTATAATTTTTTTTAAAAAAAGTTGAATCCTTGTACAGATATCGACTTTCTTAATCATTAAATGTTTGTGATAATGCAACACATGTTAGCCTGCTTTTGGTATCGTATGATGCTATGGGTGTAGTAATTGTAATTTCTGATGCTTGCTCTTTA